TTTTTATAAATTCAAAATTTATTTATTTTTGTGTGATGCTTCAGGTTATATATGGAACTTTTATTTTTTCCTATTACGAAGGTAGAACATTAAAATATATAATTGAGTTTTCAAAGATTAGGTTAGTAGGTGGTTGAGGAAAATAACACAAGTAAAGAACGCCAATCAAATTTAAATAGTGATTGACATACATGGTCTATTGCTATGAAATTTATATAATTCCTCCATTTATTCATTATCTGTTTCTTCTTTTTCTTTGTTGCATTGGAGAGTATGGAGATCCTTCTCCTTTCATCATAAGACATAACAAAATAATTTCAAATCAAACAATTAAGAAAAATGGAATATACACACACTACTATGTTTGCCCTCATTTTCTTTTATGATCTCACATGAGTGTAATAAAATTTTTGTTTGAATGTAATTTTTGTTTTACAAATGTTTGAATTTGTATTTTGAAGAGTTTGGTTAAAAAAGATGTGAATGATGCTTTAATAATAGTAACTTTTTTTAAAGATGTGGGTTAGGAAGTTGAGAATCTATTTAGGGATAAGGTTAGTTATTATTTAAAGTTTGAATTTTAAATTAATTATTCAAATATTTTGTTGTTGCTAATTTTGAGGTTTCTTTTTTTAAAGAGCGGATTTCTTTTTTCTTTTTAAAATTGAAAGACTTTTCTTTCGATTATGTGAATACAATTTAATAAACTTTTAAAAGAAAGGGAATAAAAACTACCTCATTTTTCCTACGAATTCATAGTTTTTAACAATAAGTTTTTAAATTTATATTTTAATGGTAAATATTGCATTTGCTAACAAAACGTTTTTAAATTTATTTTTAATAAAATTTTAAAATAAAGGGAAAAAAACTACTCCATTTCCTTAAGAATCCACCGTCTTCAACTTTTTTTTTTTTTACAATAAGTTTTAAATTTTTTTTTTAATGGTAATCTATGTTTTTTACAATGAGTTTTTAAAAATTATATATATATAAGATATAGGATAAGATTGCCCTTTTATTTTATTTGAATTTTATAAATTGGATACTTTTTGAAATACTAAACCAGCCCAGATTAAATGATTTTTAAAAAAAAAATAATTTTACAAATTTATAATTGAAACTTAAAAAAAAAAAGCACACTTTTTTTGGGTGCTGACATTTGTCGGTATTCATCTAATTTGATGACATTTGTCATTTATAGAACTGCCTTTTTTTAAATAAAAAAAAGTGTATCAATTATTATTTTTAAATAGTAAATATGTCCTAGATTAAAATAAAAAAAATTCTATCTATTACAAATTTATAAATTGGATTTTAAAAAAATATTAAATTTGTTTATAAAAATGCTGACATTTGTCATTATTTGACATGTGAATTTTTGTTTCAAATTTATAATATTTAATTAGTTATATAATATTTAATTATTTATAATTTAAAATTCTGAAAATTTGTGATGCTGACATGTGGCGTTTTTTTCTTCTCCTATTATATATAGATAGATTATTATTATTATTATTATTATTATTATTATTATTATTATTATTATTATTATTATTATTATTATATTTTTATTTTATTTTTCTAAAATGAAGATTAATTCAATTTTGAAACGACAACTTTTGTAACCGTAGAATTTTTTATTATTTATTATTATTATAGAAATCAGTTATTTATATTTTAAAAAAAGAATACGTTTGAAATTTTTATAGATTGTTTAAACATGTTTAAATTTAAATTGAAAATAATTAACTAATACAAAATTAAATTATTTTAAAAACTAAAATTGAAAATTTTTGTGGTGATGACATGTGTCACTTATTTCTTCTCCTTTTATAAATAGATGGATTTTTCAATATTTAGATAACTTATAATTAATAGAAATGAGATAGTAATATTATTATTGTTATATTATATTATTCTATAAAAATATATCAAGTCAATTATAAACAAGCAAAGACGAAAAAAATCAGAACAGAAGGAAGGGGAAAAACCATGTGACTAATAACTTTTGTGTACATTTATATCTATAGGCTTGATAGATATAGGGTTTGTATATGTTAATGCATCCTTGAAGTTTAATTTTTTATGTGTAGTGGTATTCTTTGTATGGACCATTTGTTTGCTGCAAAAACACTCATACTGATGGTGAAAATGATGTTACTTTTGAAATAGATAATATTTTGATAAGAAGCGTTTATCCCTTTAGTAAATTTATCTAGATAAAATCTAAGTTACACTATTAAAAATAATACAAAAATCTATTAAAGAAATTTGATTTCAGTACAAAGATTCAGAGAAAATCGATTTATACTTTCCAAAAAAACTTTTTAAATTATTTTTAAATATAATCAACGAACGTCCATCGATTTTTTTGCCCATCCTCTAGCCACTCCACCCTCATAGCACCCCCGCCAACCCCACCCACACTTCTATAGCCCTCATCCCTACCTTCCACCCCCACCTCCATAGTTTCCGTCCCCACACTCATCATAACAAATAAAGAATTTAGTGGCACTAACAAAAATAAGTATTTATAATCGTACTCTATCTAATTAGGGCCGGCTCTTGTATACAAAATTTGAGGCATATGCCTTATGGGGGCCTCAAATTATTACCAAGAATACATTTTTTGTTAAATTTTTTTACATAAAATTATATTATTTTGTTCTCCTTAACCCCATTCAAACAGAAAAAAATCAATTATTTTTCGCTAACACTTATATTATTTATCTGTTTGAACTCTTTTTTTTCAAATCTTTGATAAGATAGAGTAATAGACTATCAAAAATATGAATCAATAGTCGAAAAGTGTTGAACAAAGTAAATTACAATTTTTTTTATTTCTTCTTAAATTTTCAAGCAATACAACAAACATAGTAAGTAGGATATACCAACTTATCAACTTCTTGAATCAAATTTTATGATTTTAACTCTTGTTTTTATTTAAAGTTTGTCAACTTATTACTAAGAATTATGTTAACAATTCATATAGTAATGACCCAATAAAAGAATGTTTTCTAATGTTGAATTGATAAAATCTTACCTAAAACTAATAATAATAAAGATATTTGAAGAAATCATATATAAAGAAATTTTAAGCAAAAATTTACATCTAAAAAGTTAGAAAAATAATTTTTAAATAAATACATATGAAGTTTATTTAGATTTTAGGCTTCTAATTGAAATCTAAAAGTTAGAAAAATATTTTTTAAATAAATATATATGAATTTTATTTAGATTTTAGGCCTCTAATTACTTTGAATCACCCATGTATATAATAGTCGCTATATTATATATAATGACAATAATAATTTTGTATGTTTATAATCAATAGTCCATTAAATGTCGTCTCTGGATGTAATAATATTAACTCCTTTGTTGCGAAATAATTTTGTTACAACAAATATTGTCGCTAAAAGGAAAATTTATTGTCACTAAATACCTCTTTGGTTATACGGTGTTTGCCAAGATTATACAAACTGTTTTTTCGTACTTACAAGAAACAAGAAAATAAGTAAAAAATTCATTTATTTTTTAGGAAATTATTTGAACTTCTCAACATCAATGTAGAGTAATTAATTCCTTGATGAATTTTCACAATTAAACTCATAGCCAAAACAGAAAATAGACTCTTCAACCACCATATGCCTATTTTTTTTTTTTGTATGTTAAGTTTCTCCATATATATTTTCCAAACCAAAACTAGTCAAGGCATTCCCCCATTATGCATGAAAATGGGGACCAACAATATGGGGACTATGATTGTATCCAAAACAATGAAAATATTGCACATGTATTTTGTTTGCAACTAACCTTAATTATCACCTCTTTCCATGATATATCAGTATCAATATCTCATTTTGTTTGACTAGAGGCACCAATTCTACAATGCCCAAGCAGAGGGGACCTATTTTATTGGCCCCCTTCTGTTATATGTCTTGTTCAAGGACCATATATACCACTGTATAGTTGTCCCTTAACTAAAACCTTAACACCAAACACATAGCTAAAAAAAAATCAGTTGAAACATGTGCTACTCTCTTTGGTTTCAATTTGTCTATCTGGTTTCACTTAACACGGAGTTTAAAAAACTTTAGAATTTTATGGTCTTAAACATATCTTCTATTTTTGCCCTTCTTCTTAAATTAAGGGTAGGGGAAATAGGGAGGGGATTACAAGGTAGGAATTGAACTCTCACTAATAAAGTGAAAGTTCAGGTAACAAACCAACTCTCCTCATAAAAATGTCATGTGAAAAGTTAGAATTAAAAATTTGTCTATAAAGGAATGAATCATTCTTTCTAAAATGGACTAAAAAGAAAAGTAGAAAAAAAAAATTGAAATGAAGGAATAATATGTTACCGGAGGCTAATTCAATATCTGAAGTCACTAGGTTCAAAATATTATGTGTACATTTTTAAAAAAATAAAGTCTTTTGTATATGTATATGTATATGTAGTATGAGTCGAAAACTATGAGTTTTTAAGTGAATTCATAGAACTCGCTCTAGATCTACCTTGATCACTTACATAATAGAGTCCCTATTTCCCATTCCTCATTCATGAAAACGGTTGATGCTTTGCTTTTTGGAGAAGTTCAAGTTTTATGCACTGACGTTGTAAAACATGTTTATGCAATCATGTTATTTATCAAGTAATTATTGGTAAGAAGATTCTACAATAAACATTTTATTAGTAACCTGATAATAATGATTACTCACCTGGTATAGTCGGTGTACATAACTTAAATCCTTGGTAACGATTCAATTGTCTAATACTAGATGGTCCTGATCTAGCATCATTGTGGAAAATGTGACTGTTTTTTCAATGCACTGTACATTTACAAGATGAAAGAAAAATTGAAATGGCTTCATTGACATCAGTTGTTGCTGCTGCTGCAAATTAACTTAAAGATGCATCATTTAATTTTAACTTTTCACGTGACATTTTTAAAAATACAAGAGTATAGAACATTTTTGTACATTCCACGTATCTTAAGTTTAACACCACAAGATTCAAAGGTCTTTTTTATTTTCTTAAACACCGTGTCAAGTCAAAACCAGACTAACAAATTGAAACAAAGGAGGTAATACAAAAGGACAAGAAATACAGAACTACACTGCAGACTTAGTAAAACATTAGAGAAGAATACCATATGCATATCTTAAATAGTTACATCTTACAGTAAATAAGGAAATTTCTACTTGAAGGGAACAAAAGGGGGAGTTGAGATATGTTTGTCATTTCTAGAGAAATTTACAGGGTGGTGAAAAACAAAAAAAAGAGCACCCTTAATTTCCCATAACAAAAATTTAGAATTTCAGGTTAGCTTGTTCCAGTAATAATACGATATTATCATGTCCTAACGCGTAATAGTATGCTGCGAATCCAGCTTTCATCTTGAAATTTCATGTGCTTGAGGGTAACCAATTTGTTCCGTCTCCCAGATCAACTTAGAAGCAACGCCTTCATGGCAAGGAACATATTCCTGCAATCGCAAACAAAATGTGCACTTTTTTCAACACAGTACGATTTCAAGAAGTACTCTAACGAAGAACAAGAATTGACTTTGAATATCGCCTTTTTCTCTTACCTCCAGTTTCTTCACTAGCTCCTTTGGCGATGGTGCTGATATAATGATGTGGCGTGCATTTGGGCTGATGAAACCTTCCTCAACAGCTTTGTCGATAAATGACAATAATGAATTGTAGTATCCATCCACATTCAACAATCCTACCTGCAAAATGCATGTTACTTGTGGTTCTCAAAATTGTGAATGTTAAGCTAAAAACTCAAGTACAAGAACTACATAACGTTGATGATCCAAAAGTACATTGAAAATAAATGATATACCGGCTTATCATGGATGCCTAGTTGCGCCCAGGTTATCACTTCAAGCAGCTCCTCAAGAGTTCCATAACCACCTAGATATGAATGGAGACGATAGCGTTAGTGCTTAATTGTTCCGAAACTGTCAAATGTCATGCTTAACTATGAATGAGGATTTAATGATAATGTACCATGAAAACATAAAACAATAACAACAGAAGAATGATACGGGATATGAATCTCATAAGTACAATGATCCTCTGCATAACTCAACGAGTGGGGTCTAGAGAGGGTAGGATGTACGCAAACCTTACTACTACCTTTCTGGGGTAGAGAGGTTGTTTCCGATAGACCCTCAACTCAAAAGAATGGACCAAGTAGAATATACTAAACAAGTACTAATCAGTAGTACAGTTGACAAGGTGTTTAATCAATAACAGAATTTTAATCTATTCTGAAGTTTTGTGACTAATTAAGATGCAACCAAAAGGAATAATATTGACTAGTTTGAATTTCTGAACCAACTGGAATCCTAAAGTGGAGTGAGCATGATAACTTGTTTAGGTCCAGCAGCCAGTTGGCATTACCAAATTAGTGAAAGTGTGACAGTTTTCTCCCTTACCTATCACCCCCCAATGGCTTTTAAGTACATTAAAGGAAAAGAACAAATCACAGTAGTAGTTTCTCTCACAGTGAATAATCCCAATTTCAGTGCTAGATGTTGATAGGTCAACAACTAAGGTTTGAACTGTTGATCCTTAAATCTACATTTTCTTTAACAAGTCTAATAAACACAACAAAAGCAATCTCTGACCAACGTTGCTCGGATCCTCAAAAGTAATGAATTTTTGGAGAACCTAACACCAATGCATTTGGCATTTATTCAAAATCCACGTACCCCTAGCCTTCAACTAGAGATATACATAATTTGAGCATAACTATTCTTTATGGTTATCACCTGTATCCAAGAATAAGAATATCAAGGCTATTACAAATCATGAAAAACTCCAAATTTCTATTATTTGTGTCTTTTAAAAGGAAATACATACTAAGCCAAGAAAATGACAACTTGAACTATCAGAAAAACAAAAAGACAGGAAACATATAATGAATCTATCGCCTTAAATAGCAAATATTAAACCACTGATTGTCTTCTTTCTTTTCATTTATCCCAATTATTTTTTACATAGGAATTTGTGTGCAAAAGTTAAACTTTGACTGTAAGGCATAATACTAACCTGGCAAGGCAATAAAAGCATCAGAATGCCTAGCCATCTCTGCTTTTCTTTGATGCATACCTGCAACAGCCTTCACTTCTCCTACTGTTTCACCAGTTAGCTGTGAAAAAATAGTACCATACTTCAGTAGAAAAAAAGAGAGAAGATAAAAATATGAGGGAAAGACAGAATTTCTTGTAGTGTAGTAAATGTTGCTGCAGTGAAGCAATGATGAGTATTATTTCAGAAAAAGAAGACTTAATCCTGAAAATAGTCTATAGGGTCAGCAATTGCAGTAGAAAGTAGCTTATCATTACCATACTCAACCACCAGTTCAAGACATATATAATGTAGTCCGCCGGTACACTAAACTTCCGCTACGCACAAGGTTCAAGAAAAGACTGAACAACGAGGGTCTATTATACGCAGTCTTACTCGTGATATATGAGTTGCAGAAACACAAGAGCTAATACTGGTCTCTGAAACACAGAGTGAATAAAGCTTTCTATACAGAAGGAAAAAAGTCAGGAAAACATTTGATACCTAAAAATACATTATACTAGTAAAAAGGCAGATGTCAAAGTTACACCATGGTATATGGACAAGGCAATCAAAAGACAAGAAAGAAAAAAAAATGTGTCTTTACTCCTTCACAATGCCCAGGAACTTGAGAAAAGAACACAGCATAGGACTTTGTAAATAGCCTCTTTGGTACATTCAATATTAAATTAGAATCAATAGTTTAAAGAGATTTAGAAATAAACTCAAAGTATCAACTCTTTAAACATGGATTATAAAAGATTAAAGAGTAGTATAATAGTTTTCTTGATCATAGCAGACATACCTCTCGAGGCATGAGTGTCTTGGGAATGACCCTGCAGACGGACAATAACATGACAAAAATTCAATTTTTATTGATAAAAAAAGAACATTTGCACTAATTAACACAAGAGAGACGCACTTTCATTCATCATGTTAGGGATAGTTTGGTTAGCATTTGAAAATTTGTTCTTTAAATATTTTCAAACTTTTTTCCAACTAAAATTGTGTCCAAACACAACTTCAAATTCCAAAAATCACAACTTCAGATACTAAAACACTCAAGTTTCAACGTCAAAATCTATGAGCAAACAGGAGCTTAATTAGCATAGATTGATCTTTCTCCTCACCCAATAACATGGCGCCCACCATCATGAACAGCTTGTGAAACCAAACCCATAAGGCCTATGCTACCTCCTCCATAGACCAAATCAATATTCCTTGACACCTTTCATAAGACAAAACACCAGATCAACACCATAAAGTAATCACTTTTAAGTCTAAAAGCACATTTAGACTGTTTAATAATATTATAAAAAGAGAAAAAGGCCAAAAGGGTAAAAATGGATTATAAAACAAATGTACTCCACTTTTTAGTGCAGTCCTATCTATACATATGAAGATGATAAAAGAGCATAAATACAAAAGATTGTACAGAGAAAGAAAACAACAGAGAAAAAGGGTCCCAGAAGAATAAAAATCCTGTAGATGAAAGTAACTGTAAGTAGAATACACAACAATGTAAAAACAAAACTAGCTACTAGAAGCTGAAAACTTTGTTGTATTTCCCATGTGTGAACAATAATCAAAGCAACTTGCAAAAAAAGATTGAAACTTTCATGAGTGGTTACAAACACACACACACACACACACACACACACAAGAAACAGAGAGAAAAATAGAAGTGCATGTAACAGAACATATTATCAAGAAACTTTGAACAAAAGGGATTAATAAACCTAAAATTTGAAAACCAAAAAAACTGAATATCATCATCAAGACTTGTCATTTACTTCAAAATAAACACCCCATTTACATGAAAACCCCAAAAAGGTACAATCTTTAAACAATACGAGTGACAAAAAGTTAAAATCAAGAAAAGGGTTAAAAAAAGCCATTGTTCTTTACCAATTCTTTGCCAAGCTCAATAGCAGCATCTTGATAGCTACTCTTCTTGCCTTGACTACTTCCACAAAACACACAAATCCTCTTGAATTTTGAACCCTTTACTACAACACCACTCTCCCTCTCCATTTTTTTTTCCAACTTTTTCTGCAAATTAGATTATAAAATAAGAAACTTGGTATGTTATTATTCTGAAAGAGAGCAATATATAGGACCCTATACATATGTAGAGTTATACGTACCATATATAGAAGAAAATTGTGTCTACCTTTTTAGCTTGACCACACCATTGGCCACTCCCAAATGGTTCTATGTACGAGCCACACTCCACGTCACCAAAACATAATTACATTTGTTTTATACTCAACCCTACCACTACTGGACCAATTTACGGTTCTAAACACTTCGATCGACTAATTTATAATACGATATTTAAGACATGCATAAATGGTGTACTGAACGGTTGATAAATTAGTTGATAATACAATATATATATATATATATATATAACTTTTCCTTTATTATTATATACAATGAACATGAAGCTTTTTTAAGAAACAAATGTTATGTCAATCTTGAATATTCTCGTAGGGTACATGAACAAATGTGTGATATATATATAGTACTTAAAACGCAAAATAAAATACTAATGTCCTATTACAACAGACCGGGTACAATTCAATAAATTAGGAGTACTTTATTTATTTCAATTTGTATGTGTAGGTAGATATTAAAATTTTTATGAGACTCTACCAGACGTGTTCAATTTGAGTTGAAACTCTATAAAGTGTGCTCAACTCCAACTACGATTTTTGGAGGGTACTCAATCCTAAACTCTAATCCATACCTATATAAAGGGTACTATATTCCTTGAAAAGACATTCTCGAAAATTCCATAAAAAGATTAAAATCTCAAAATTTTCAAAACAAATTTATGGAATATTCAGAAAAAATCAAGATCTCAAATATTCCGCAAATTCATGAAATATTCCTAGTTTGAGAAAATATGTCACTAACGCCCCTCGAATTATAGAAATTAAATCCAAATCATCCTAGTTCAAGAAATATGCCATTAACGGCCCTCAAATTATAGAAACTAAGTCCAAATCATCTAAGTTCAGGAAATACGCCACTAATGACCCTCAGATTATGGAGATCAAGTCCAAATCTTTCTAGTTCGAGAAATACACCACAAATGACCCTCGAATTATGGATAAATATCTTATGAGAGAGGAACATAATTGTACCCACAATATTTGTCAATAAAGTTATATTTCTTCATATTTTATTTGTGATTGTAATTTATTTTCTATCACTATAAAATTTGCAAACAATGTGATATATGCAGAATTTGAAGAGTCAGCTAAATAATATCCTTGGCTAGTAGTATGTCGACAGACAACTATCTCCTTCTTGCCAATTATTAATAGTAGTAATAAAATATAAGGTTGATTGTGGTCAATTCATACAATATATTTACTAAAAAAATAGATCAATTAGATCAAAGTTGGGGTCAAGTTTGAAGTTCTAGGTCAAATTTGAGTCTCGAATATCAGATCGGGTTAATCTTTAGTCCCAAGTCAGGGTTGGATATCAGGTCTTGAGTTATATATATACTCCTACTTAATAATTTATAATCAAAATAAAAATCACGAATTAAATTGTGAAAAAAATCACTCACAAAAATATAAATTAAAACTGTTACAATAGACATCCTTATGATCCAATCTAACATATTTTTGAACCTTTCACATGGTAAAAACTTTGTACTATCGAACTTTTTTTTAAACGTATTAATATCAAATTGTATATATGGGCAATAAGTAGATGGGAAAATGCAATGGAGGCAAGTGGGAATAGCCATGGAGGTCTGTGCAAAGATGATTGAATAATAAAAAACATGTGGGTATTTGTGTATCAGGCTTGTACCCTTATACACTAGACAAACTTGTTGTATTTTTAGGAAACATTTTATACGTATTTCATAAATCCCCATATCACTTCACTTACCATGTTGTCCCTATTCCCCATTCCCTATGTATATTACTACCCCATCCGTTTTATATTACTCGAGTCTCGACTCCTTTTAATCTGACACATTCATTTCTTTTAATTATAAATTAATACAAGATTTAAAAAAATGTTGTACTTTTTAAAATTTCATATCGTGAAAGCAAACAACACACATAAAAATAAAACAAAAAAGATATTTTTAGTGTTGTATTTTTTAAATCGTATTGTGGTATATACACATTCAAGTGGTGGGTCAATACTGCACCATTACTTTCAGCATGAATTAAACATGTATAGATAAAAGTCTAAAAATATCTATACTTGTACTAACTTTACCATGGAATGTAGTACGATTAATGGAATTCCTTGATCATTAAAAATTTCGAGTTTAAATCATAGTAGTAATAAAAAATTTCAATAGAGTTTCTTTCCCATTTTAATGGACCTTATATATCACAAATCTCGATTAGTCGAGTTAAATTTTGGATAGCAGATAAGTATTTTTATTTTAAAGTAAGTTATTGTTGTACAGTACCACTAGTACAACTTTTTGGGGCATGACAAATTATGGTGCATTATCTAATAATTCTAGTGACTCTGTTATGGGCCTGTATTATTTTTATCGTACTGTATATACTAGTGAAAAATTAATTTTGTTATTCCTGCTGTTACAAAAAAAAAAATTGGAATTGAGAGTGACTTAGCCCATGCCGTTTAAACTAATGTGTTATATAAAAAGCATTCACAAATCCCTAGGTTGGCCTATATATCTCTTTCAATCAAGATTGCGTATACATTATTATCTTCAAATTTTATTTATGAAATTTTACAGAATATGTTATTATTGTTGTTATTTTGAGTAGGACATGATCTTATAAGACCCCTTGCAAGTTGAAGGTGGCGATGCGACATTCATTTTGAGGTAGAGAAATTCAAATCTAGATGAGGCGAGAGGCTTGATGAACACATCCACAAGTTGTTATGTGGTATATAAGAATTGCACCGAGAGGTCTTTGTGAGCTACTTTGTAACCCACAAAATTAAAATCAATTTCCACATGTTTTATGTGAGCATGGAACATCCTCTTAATGGACAAGTAGATATGCAACGCCAATATGAAAAGAATCATCATATTAATGGACGAGTAGGCATGCAACGCCAATATAGAAAGAATCAGATTCACACGTAATATATAGGACATATTGAAACATAATTAAGTATATAAAAGTAAACTCTTTCTAACGACTTAAACTTTTGATTTAGAAAGCCGGAAGCTTTACTAGTGAGAGAAAGTTAGCCCATGCCATTTAAACTAATGTGTTATATAAAGAGCATTCATAAATCCCTAGGTTGGCCTATATATGCTTTCTATTCAAGTATGAGTAAGATTATATATATGTGTTATTCTATTCAAACTTTATTCATGAAATTTTATCGAATATGTTATTGATATTGTTATGTTGATACTCATTTATAATACCCAATGAATCAATCATGTTTTGAGTCTTAGCTTTGATAAGGCATGGTCTTATAATAACACCCCTTGCAAGCTGAAGGTGACGTTACGACATTCTATTTGGAGCAGAGAAATTCAAATCTAGATGAGACAAAAGGCTTGGTGAACACATCCACAAGTTTTTCTATGGTAGATAAAGAATTGTACTGAGAGGTCTTTGCAAGCTACTTTCTAACCCACAAAAATAAATTCAATTTCCACATGTTTTATGTGAGCATGGAACATCCAATTAATGGACAAGTAGGCATGCAACGCCAATATGAAAAGAATCAGGCTCACACATGAGAAACATATAAAAAACATAATTAAGCATATAAAAATGAAAACTCTCTCTAACAACTTAAGTTTTTGGTTTTAGAAGGTCGCGCATATACTTTAGTACTGATTACAAATTTAAATAAAATTAATAATATATATCATAGTATATATAATTTAAATTGAAATATGATTAATATGTTTAGTGGACTGTGTGTAGCAGGACAAATTGACCTTGAATACAGGTATATATAGGCTACAGACTACATGTTGGATAGTAGGGGGTGACCAGAAAAGGATGGCAAGATAATGGCAACATAAATAAAAAGATAAAAAAATTTCTAATAAACCCAACTATCAATTTATTGTTAGAAAATGACTTTAACGGGATTGGGATCCAGTCCAGTAAATTTACCTCCGGTATATATCAATAGGGTTTTCAGATTTTAACACGTGTCCTATTATAATTTTAATGGGTAGGATCTATATAGTCTTAATCCTGGTCAGTGCCCGTTTGAACTGACTTATTTTAAGTGTTTTTAAATTAAAATAGCTTTTAAGCAGTTTTGAAGTGTTTGAGTAAAGTTAAAAAGTGTTTATAAACACTTATTTTAAAGCCAAAATAACAAAAATAAGTCAAAAATCATAAGTTAAAAATCTTAACTTATGACTTTTGGCTTATAAGTCATAAGCCAAAAGCCAATACAAACAGGCCCTTAGTCTCCTTTTTCTTTAGTTTCTCATCAAGATCCATACACTAGCTCCATTCTCCCCTTTAACATAGTCATGCCATTTGGATTAAAAAATGGCCCACAGATTTTTCAAAGAAAAATGGATAAAATATTTTTCGAAAAGGAATTTTTAATAGTCTATATAGATGACATACTAATATGTTCTAAGACATATTAAGAACACCTAACAAATCTGAAAGAATTTTCAGAAATATATTTAAAAAATGAAATTATTCTAAGCCAGAAAAAGGTAGAAATAAATAAAAATGAAATAGAATTCTTAGGAATGATTATTTCAAAAAATAGAATTGAACTCTAAACTCATATCTCAAAAAAGATTACAGAATTTCATATATATATATATATATAATGATGTAACAATTTGTTTATACCTCGCCAAAATAGTGTAATTGAATTTCTCAAAATAATTTAAAGGTACTTGAGTTTAATAAATTTTATGAATGAAATAAATTATAATAATAACAAAATGTAATATAAAAGCAAGAAGATAATCAAATCATGTATTTAATCTTGAGGATCGAATTTTGATGGCTTAAGTACGGTGTGTTTGATAAGATTTGAATTAGCATAAAACAATTTGTAAATCGAAGATTTTTCTCCCATAACATAGGCGAAGGTCAAATGATATGATTATGTTGATCAGTACTTTTAGATATATTTTTTTTA